TCATTCAGAAATAGAGGGATGTTTCTTGATAGGTAAGTTGCAGTTATCGAAACTCAAACGCAAACAAGAGAATAAGCTCTGTCGCTAGTGGAGGCCGACTCGTGAAATCAAGTTTTAATGAAAACTTAGGAACTCTGCCATTGAAATAGATGAAGACATCACATAGCAAGCAAAATAATTTGGCCTGGCAAGAAACAAAACACAAAATTCAGCTCATTCAATGTGTATGTAAAGAAAAAAAGCAGAGCTTGTTGCATTGTTACTATGCAAAGCATAAAATGAAATCAACTTACTCCCTTCTCACAATACTCTCCCGAATATCCTGTCCGACAATAGCATCGATAAAGTCCCTCCGGTTCCTCAAAAGTCTGCTTCTGTCTCCTGAGGCGAGGATCTGAAGTTGAGTGAAGTTCGTGTATGGATCGACAGTTGCCTCCATTGTGACATCCTAATTGAGCCGACCGGCAGTCATCTGGCGCTAGTAACGGAGAGGAGCTAATGGTGCCACTTGTAGAAAAAGATGAGGAGGTTGCGTTCGTCGGGGAAATGGGGGTAGAAAATTGAGCAGGGGAAATTTGAGGCTCCATCAGCCCTGAGACGTCTAATGGTGTAGAAAAAGGGAGGGCCATTGTTGACGTCAGGAGCTCTGTGCAATTAGGGCCTTGGAATCCAGTAGGGCACAGACATGTGTAGCCATTTATTTCATCGATGCAGCTACCTCCATTGGGACAGATCACATCCTCACAGTCGTTAGCATTCACCTCGCACACATCCCCGATGTAGCCTTTAAAATTAATGAGCATCTAAGGTCAGCACTAGAAACTAAGAGATAAATACGCATTTTTTTTCTTTTATAAGTAGGTTTTCGAGACTACCAGTTTATCATATACATGAGATGTGTTCATCCTAATTCGTTTAAAGTAATAAAGTACTGGCCTTACGGTTCCATTGGATTTAACATAGCCTTGCTTCCCCAAAGGTATTCTTATCCTGGTTAGAATGTAGTTTCGAATCCACCTGATCTTCATCAGGAACCCCAATGGTACTCGAACTCTGGTAGTGCATCGTATAATCTCGAAACCTTAACCACTAGGCCAAACTGCCACGAGTGCCCTTGAGTGAAATGGAAGATTTGAATTTTAGGGAAAGCCAGGACTTTTATTATATCATATTATGTGGTGGGATTATCGATGGCTCAATATTGTATTTGTTATAGCAAGCAACCATATTACTTTCTTTTCGTTTCTAAGGTGGTTTTTGAGACTAT